TGAGCGACGCCGAGAATCATGCGAATCGCGTACGCGCGGGACACGCCGGGTTTGAGGGAAACGTAATGAGCGAGCGAGTAAAACGAGGTTTATCTTACCTCTCCGGCTCTCGTAATTATCTATTATGCAATAACGCGGTAATGGCTTCGCGTCTTGTTCTTAACGCCTTCCTTTATTCCCGGGGTACCAGCCACCGGCAGTTCCCAGGATCGCGCGTCGCGTCTTTTCGCGCGCGTCTCGCGGCGCTCTCAGACGCGCGTTGTCATTTAAAATCAGCTGCGCCTATATCCGAATTTAATTAAAGGCACCCTTGAGCCTTTTTTTCCTCAAACAATGGAGCAAGTTCGAACGCACGTTTCGCACTCGGCGCAATTATCCATGCGTTTACCTCGCGGAGTCACGCATTGAAAACCCACGATTACGCGCCGGGAAACGACAGTCTCTCGATCGGTATCGCCGATATTTCGTAACCAAAGGCGAACTTTAAATCAAATTTGTTAAATCTTGCCGGCAAACACGCCGTTATTCTCCGACGAAGTGACCGAGCGTGCGACGTTTGAAGTAAACATTTTCAGATACGAGGCTCCGCGATCGGATTTGAACACCGGACGATCTTGAATCCGCGAGACAAATAATCTTGGGTGTTCGAGTGCTGAGTTTCTCACTAAAGCGAAGCGCGTGAGGAAGACATTTTCCTAGCTTCAATATTAATTCCGCTCGTGAGAAGCTTTCCTCTAATATTAAACATTAGTCTTATTTATTCTATTATTATATCATCGCAATTATTAAGATCCAAGTGCATATTCCGAAGATGGCATCATAATGAGGACTCCCCGTCCCCGGCTTTCCGCGTCGGGAGAGCCTGCCTCTTCGCCACCGACGTACCGACCTCGCCCACGCTCATTTCGCGTCCCATCGGACACGCGGGAGCACGCGGCACGGCGAAATTCCACGCCGCGGAATTTCGTAGGAGGTGGCGCGGGAGGGGAAGGGGCGGAGGGAAGGTCGAGCGTTGCGGCGCGGCGGGAGCCTCATTCGCGTGCGGGATTAAAATTCGAGTCCCACGGTATACACGGTAGCTCGTGTTCTCAGACACGACCGTCTCGGGGTCCTTTCACGTAAGGACGAGAGAGGCGCGTTTAAGCGCTTCGCGGAACCCTTTTTTTTCAGTCTTCCCCGCCGCCCTCCTCTCTCTCGCGCTCTCTCTCTCTTTATCGCCGAACGTCACGCACGTGTGTACGGCGCGGACGTGGCAGAGCGGCGACGCGGCACGCCGTAGGATCCCTCCCGTGAAATAGCGGATCTATGGGAAACGCAGCCTCGGCCTTCGAGAGATCACCTCTCGGCGATCGACAGCCGCTGGACACGATAAATACGCGCGGAGTAGATAATCGCGATGCAAGGAGACTCACGGGGGCGCATTCTTGTGCTTTTTTTTTCTTTGCTCCTCCAGCTCCGAGATCTCGCGAAGATGACGAGGCACGACACGAATTCGCAAGGCGAGAATCGAGACCGTTGTAACGTCGACGAGTTGAAATTTCGTCCATCGTAATAAATTGAGAGAAAATGAGAGAGAGAGAGAGAGAGAGAGAGAGAGAGAGGGGGGGGGGAGAGAGAAGCAATTCTTCGCGGACACGTTTTCCTCTCAGGGAAGTTCCAAGTTTGACAGCTAGAAGAGCTTCTCGCGAGGCGCGAGGCGAAATTACGTTAACGGAATCGCAATTGCGGAATCCTGCGTCTTGCACGCGTGCGATTAGCGCCAAAGCAATTTACGTAACTTTCAATGGAGCGAGATACCGTTGCGGCGGCCGCGGATTTTGTCGCCCGGAGATTCCGAGAGAGATGACGAATAAGAGAAGAACGCGGCGTGGCGAATTCGCGCAAAAATTGTTTAAACCGCGCGGAGAAGAGACGGCGAAGGTCTACGCGGGGAAAACTCGCTTCTCGCGCGACGTCGTTTGAGAAACGGCGTGACATTACTCGCACCTCATCAGCCGCGATAATCTATGCGATCTCCTAAGGGAAAATAATACGCGACGGTCGCAGCTGTCGCCGCCACGTGAACGTTTGAATTACCGGGCGGCGGGAATGAAAAAAATCAGAAAATTACACTTTGTAACGCGCGGCGATACGAGCCGCGAGCGCGTTACTCATTGTCTTTCCATCCATATGCTTTCAATTATCCCCGGCTCGTGTGTCCCCTCGATTGTACCGTCCACCGTTTGTCACGTAACACCTTTGTAGAAAATTAATTCTCGCTTATCCCCGCGCGCACGTGCGTGCTGTCCCTCGTGAATCGAATCCTCCGGTTTTTTTTTAAACGTCCCATTCGCGTTCGAGTTACAAGAATTCTTGTTAAATATGTTGATTTTTTATCTCTTTCTAGTATATATAATGAGATTTTTCGCAAGTGTCCTCCCATTTATTGACGCAGCTCTTGGATGTAACTGTTCGACTACTCCATCTTGTCAGACTCTTCGATCCACCTGTGTCCTCTTTTCCTATTAAATTGATCGAAATTTCAGAATACCTAATACGAAACTGTATCGTTTCTCGTGCAATTTATAGACTCTGTTTACTTTACAAAAAAAAACAAGAAGAAGAAGAAGAAGAGGAACGCTTTGCAAACAGCTCCGCGAGACCGAGGTGCCAGTCGAATACCGTGACAGCGCCGAATCGATTCTATCAGGGAGAACAAAAACTTCGCGGCGGCGCCTATTATATCTGCCGCGGCGCGATCGCCGGCAATTCGACCGGCATTCTTTATTTTTGCGGTTGGCCCGGAGCGAGAAATAACGACGTCGTTCCCGCGATCAAATCCGGAGTGGCGGTCGCACGGCGGTGCGTCTCACCCGGTCCCGGTCGTGTGCGTGCGATATACACGGGCGCGTGCGCGTGCTTGAAGAAATATACAACGGGACGCGAGAGCGCGAAAAGCGTCGCGGCGCTGGGCGTCCTGCGTTACGTCGAGCTCCGCCGGAATGCGTAAATATACAAGCTGCGAGGCGAAAACGAGCGAGAGCGAGAGAGGGAGAGGAGAGAGAGCGAGACAAACTCGCGCTCTATATACACGGCCACCCCGAATTTATAAGAAGCCGTGACTCCACACGAGCGCGATACGTGACGTCCGTGTGGAGCGTCGAAGGCGTATCGCTGGAATTTAATGTTCCTCTCGGCAGGATGCGTATCTCACCGAGAGAGAGAGAGAGAGAGAGAGAGAGAGAGAGAGAGAGAGAGAGAGAGAGAGAGAGAGAGAGAGAGAGAGG